TATTTTATGGAGGCAACAATTTTGTCTGCTATTGAAATGTCAATGAGTCTGGAATGGTGGACTGGTGTTCTAATAAACAGTTTGATCATAAAACTGGAATTTCAATGTGTAATTTATTGTATAATTGTAAGTTATAAGTTATTGTAAGTTATTAGTACTCAAAAAAATTAAGGTAACAATTTGCATGGATATTTCTGAGTAGAATAAAAGTAAAAAAATAAGTTTTAATAACTAAATGGAGTAATTTTTAAACAATTAAAATTAAGTTGGTTCAACTTAATTAAGCTTGTAGAGGACAAAGCAAATCATGTTGTTTGTACGTAAGGAATAGAGTTTGCCTAACTAGAGAACTCTTGTGGCATTTACGCTATAGTGGCTAAGCTGAAGTAACTTAAAAAGATCCATGCAAATGGTTACCTTAATTTTTTTACGTTAAGCCAGCAGATCTTTTTTTAGAGTGTATGTGCCTTGTCTAACATTCACATTTACACTAACACCCAATGACTGCATGAGGAAAAACTTTCTTTGGTGACTGTTCTTTACCCACTGTCACCCTTGTGTTAATGAATTCAGCATTAGTAACTGAACAGATGTGTATTCACTAGTAAAAGTTGGAGATTTACACCTTAAACCAGCTGCACTGAGAGACAGTTTCCTCCTGGATAAGATTGGTTTGGTGGTTTACTCGTGGACTCTGGCTGCTGGATTCTTAATAATTTCAGTATTAGTAATAACTGAGTTTGTTTTTACTCTTGTGACAGACTCATACAGAACAGAGAAAAGTAAATATAAACGATGGGAATTCTGATCATGTGATGAGTAAGATGAGATTCTCTTGGCAGATACACACAACTCGCCTCCCTGTGCTTTTGTTTTTTTCTTTTAGCAAATTCTTCTATTATAACGAAACTAGTGTAACCTAAATTTATAAACTGGACAGCATGTGATGAACATAGCAGAGCACAGACAGAGACACGTTTATCCGGACATGGATCAGCTGTTTGTGCTGCTGCTGCTGCTGTGGGGCTCAGGTAGGACTGCTTTGATTTGTTTTTATTGCACTAATGAAAACAAGTTTGAAAGTCAATATTTGGTGTCAGCAGCTTCATACTTCAGCTCAATCTGAGCTCTCTGAGCAGTTCTCTGTCATCTCTTCTTGAAGGACATTCAAAGCACTTCTCTTGGTGTTTCTGCCTTTTGTTTTGCTCTCTGTCAGGAATATTCAGGCTCTGGGGAGTCCAATCTATGACTGACAGTGTTCCACTGTGTTTGTCTGTCATAGATTATGCTTTTACTGCAGTGTTTTTGATCATTGTCATGCTGAAAAACATGTGCTTTTGTCAATCAGATGCTTTACAGATGATATTACATTTTTTATAATTTATCATTCTCTTAATTTTGACTGCATCCCCAATATTGTGCTGCTCTCGTTTGAATCATAAATATCTATGCTCCATTTTTTAAAATGTAAATGAGGAGTTTTCTTCACATACTATGTTTAATAATTCAGTTAAGTTTGATTCAATTTTATTTGTATAGCACCAAACTACAAGTAATAATAACCAGTAGTAAATAATAATGGTGTCATTTCCAGTTGGAAACTGTTCATGCTCTTCAGGGATTTGATTCAAGATCAACATGTGTTTAAAAAAAGTTTACAAGACTGCATCTGTGAAAAACAAAAGCAATACAGCACCTTGAGGTGACTTTTATTGGTATTTAGCTATATAAATAAAACTGAATTGAACTAAATTTTATTTGATCACGTTGTTCATGCTTTTAAGTCAGTCTTTGATTTCTGTACTCTGCACTCTGGTTATTTACCGGTAGATATTATATAAGATACTGACAGAAGATACTAATCAGACAAAACCTGAGTTTTGGGTCTGCGCTTGCAGGCCCTGCTGGTTCAGAGACTTATCACCCGTGAACAAAGCAAGACAAACAGCGATCCGTTTTAACTTGCAAGGGAAACCTGGTCGGATCAGGCTGCAGCTCTTCACCCGACCTCAAATGACCGACCCTTCCCTGCAGCCTTTTATTCTGTGAATACACAAGCACCACCCATTGTCAACCCCTGTGTGTGCGTGCGTGTGCGTGTGCATGTGTGTGTGTGTGTGTGTGTGTGTTTGCAGGTTAAAACCCAAATAAGTGACTTCCTGTTGATCACAAAGGGTCATCTCCCCTCACCCTGTATATGGCTTAACCCCTTTAATGGTACACCATACACAAGCATAGGTGAGGCCATAAAGGGCAGCAAGTTTACTAAATAAGAAAACAGAACGTTTACATAGGATGTGCCTGCAGTTAAACACTGTAGCTTCCCCCACCATTCTACATGTAGGGGAGGACAATAGAAACAGAAGAATGTCTTTAATCATACAGTTTGAAACAAGGCTACAAATTTAAGTGCAAGAATGACAACTATTATCAAAATCACCCTAACACTAAGAGTTATGTCCACAGCTGAGCTCCACAGAATCCTGCTTTATGCTGATGGTTCTCTGATTTTCTCCTCAGGAATTCAGGCTTATGGAAAACAAGATTCAACAGGTACACAGAAAAATTAAAGTGAAATGAACAATCACTGAGGGAAAATCGTGACTCGCATTTGTCTCTCATCGTTTCAGAAGTAAAATTGCTTCTTTACTGATGACGCTCTGCTTTCTGTTCAGAGTCTGATGATGTCAGGTTGGTGGGAGGAGCCAATCACTGCGGAGGTACACTGCAGGTGAAATATCTGGGAGAGTGGAAACCATTGCAATTCATTGACTGTACCCTGAAGGAAGCAGCTGTATTCTGTAAACATCTGGACTGTGGCTCCGCTGTTTCTATAGAACAGTCCCCACAAAGCTCAGTGTGGGGGGTCAATTCTACCTGTGTTCAGTCAGGATCTGCTCTGAGGAACTGTGTAACAACAGAAGGCTTCTCCTCTGCCGTGGAGCTCACCTGCTCAGGTCAGCCCATCAGTGACACTGATGCACCAGACACAAAGACCAGGTAGAATAGTAGCACATCATCTGCAGCAGCAGAAAAGCCTGAAAAGACTTCTTCTATCAGTCCATCTGTGGCTCATCAGTATCCTGACACCCACACAGCCACCTGTAGTCAAGGCACTTCTTAAATAACCCTTTTGAATCTTTGGAGTATTCTCTAAAATAGTATAATTTTATTTTTCAGAAAAAGTAGAAAATTTAGCAAATATTTGCTGATATTGACGCACCACAAAAACAAATCACTGACAGCTGAAACATGTCTCTGCTGTCTCTGAGCTCTCTGTTTGATCTTCTCTGATGTCTCCAGACTCTGTCAGGCTGCTGAATGGTTCCAGTCTGTGTTCAGGCAGACTGGAGGTGAAGTCTGACCAGAGCTGGTCCTCAGTGTGTGAAGCTGACTTTGGCCAGCAGGATGCAGAGGTGGTCTGTAGGGAGCTCGGCTGTGGGCCTCCTTCGGTCCTCCAGGGGGCGCTCTATGAAGAAGTGGAGGCTCCAGTGTGGAGCAAAGAGTTCCAGTGTGGAGGCCATGAGTCTGCTCTCCTGGACTGTAGAAGCTCAGGCTCAGCTAGAAACAGCTGCTCACCTGGCAAAGCTGTTGGACTCACCTGCTCAGGTAGAAGAGGAGCTGCAGCTTTGATGTGGTTCAAACTCACTTTATTCTTTTACTGATGACTCTCTGCATACTCCCAGCACATTTTATGTACATATTGGCAGTATACCTCTGCTGTCAGGTCCCTGCATCCACATGCTCATGTAATAAACCAGGCGATAGGTATGTTTAAATGTAATATTGTAATGTATATGTATATTTTTATACATTATACACATAAATGATCATACCAATCATTTAATCCTTTGTAATCCACTGGATCAGGCACCATAAAAGGGACGAATGAATCTTTGGACATCATTGATCACCTCACTCTGGCCAGACTAATGAAGCCTCGACACTGTGCTTCTGAAGCACTGTGTAGTTGTTTTAGCACATATGCCAGAGCTTCAGCACGGATTCCTTTAAGCCTGTTTGAATTGAAGAATTCTATCATTTTAACTCACCTACGCTCTCAAGCTGGTTACCTCATTTGTCACTCACCTGCCTGCCCAGAGACAAAGGCAGAAGAACAGAGACAGAGAGACAAGTCTGTAGACAGATACAGTCAGTTTCTTGGACCTGCAGCTATTAAAGCTATTTATATAGGGTTAAAATGTCCAGTGGAAACAAGGCTAGAGTGACTAAATAAGCGGTTCCCAGTTTACCTTAATTGTTGGAGACTGGAGTAGGAGAAGGAGGAGAAAAGCAGAAGAAGTGAGGAAGAACGTCCTCCTCACACAAGAGGTGGATGAAATTGGACTCAGAGAGCAGGCTGACGGTTCTTTGCTCTCTCAGAGTGTTAAATAAGTAAACATAAAGGAGGTTAAATACAGTTTTACTTTGGTCCTTTTCTTTAAATTTCCAGGTCGTGCTGCAGTGTTTCATCAATAAGGTTTAAAAACGTTTGTGTGGGGCAGAATTTAAGAACATTTATCTCAAACCTATACTGAACAGATTCTAAGGGAAAACAACTCGGCACTGTCAAAATAATGACTTATGTAACAACTCTGCTTTCTGTTCAGAGCCTGTCAGGTTGGTGGGCCAAGCCAGTCGCTGTGCAGGCATGCTGGAGGTGAAAGTGGGAAAGTGGAGAACAATCGATTATTTTGACTGGGATCTGAAGGAGGCACATGTCGTCTGTGAACATTTGGGCTGTGGCTCTGCATTTTCTATACAGTGGAAAAATGAGCCCTCTGAGATTTCTGTGTTGAAAATTGAGCCTGATTGTGTTCACTCCGGATCTGCTCTGAGAGAATGTGCAAAATCATCTTCCTCTTTCCTAACCCTGAATGTCACCTGCAAAGGTAAGCAGAATCATCTATCACATATCCTTATCTTATCGACTTTGCAGGGTTTAGTTCTTGTTTGTCACGATCACTGCTCTTCTGAAATATGTTCATACTTTCTGGGAAATTTTATCAAATGCTTCATTCCATTTTTATTTCAGTCATTTATTATCTGCTTGACCAGTAAAGACACCTGAATTCCTGTATTTCCTTTTGCCTGTCTCATTTAACTTAACCATCTCAGACTTTTCTTAAATGGCAAAAAGAGTTACCGTCTGAACCCTAAAAGACAAAATCTGCTCAGTTAGCTGATACTGAAGTAGCAACACCAAAAAAGTATCTGGACATAATTAGTGGAATCATTTGTATAATTGTGACATGAAAACTTTGCAAACTAAAACTTAACACATATTAATACCCAATGTCAAAAGAAAGCCATTTTACCTTGACTGTTGCATCTGTTGTAGACAATCAGTGTTCACCAGCAAACCAGTTACTAACTTAAAATGTAAGTTCATCTCCAAACTGGATGGAAATAAAACAGACAAGTCGGGATGAGAAAGGAGATAAAGAGCTGCTGTGACTAAAACAACCTGAAAACTGAAACAAATTGAATGAAGAACACAAACTGTCCACCAGACGGGAAAACTGGAGGTTAATGGTTCGAGAGAGGGCTCGAGGAGCAGACATATGCTCTGGTGTTTACAGTAAATGATTTTGGAGAGAGTGCACCCAGCTGAGATCCTGCTTCATTTTTTTTACAGAAGGTAGATGTGACCTCACCTTGCATCATCTCAATGTTTACAGACCTGCTGGTTCAGCCAATCATCTCTGTGTCCTTCATGAATGGGGTCTCCATGGCCCAGCAGCAGGGGCTTCAGGTGTCCAGGGGCTCAAACTTCACCATCAGCTGCTCCATCCAGCCACAGTACCCGGGGGGCTCCTTCCAGCTCACCTTCACCTCATCCAACACGGCGTACAACTACACCCAGCCAGCTCTCAATCACTCCGCCCACTTCCTGTTTCCTGCTGCAGAGCACACCCACCAAGGAAACTACAGTTGCATTTATCACGTCTATGTTTTTTACCATGACTTGTCCTCTGAGAGCCCCCTGCTATCTGTCACTGTGTCAGGTAAGTTGAAGCAGAGGCTGCTGGGTTTGTGTTCAGGGCAGCGTTAAATAACAGAGAGGTTCAGGTTATGAGTTATGGTACTACTACTTTGATGCATACACTGCAGTATTCTGAGATACATAGAAATATTAGCCATAAATATGCAGTAAGTATTTTTGTACTTTATCACATGACAACATGTGGTCTTGAGCAATAGGTCTCCAGCTTTTTGAAGGTCTTTCACTATTTTTCTTTGGACATCATTTTCAGTCCAGTCCTTGTACCTGACTGATCAACCAGTGTTGTGTCTACACATAACAGATAACTTGGCAAGGACTCAATTTTTAATGTTTCTTTAATCAATATTGTAATAAAAACCTGCCACCAAAGTGCAGCAATTTTGACATGTCTTAAGTTAAATCTATGAAAAATGCCAAATATGATACAGTTTGAGAAGCACAAAACCAAAAAGGTTTTATGCCTTTTTTTTTCTTGCCTTTCAGTCTCATCCAAAAATCTGATGAGACTGGAAAAGCGGAGGAAAAAATAAAAAGTGTGGCTGGCCTCACAAATTATCTACAGTAGATTAACAGTATCTAATGCCATGTTATTTTTTCATTTATTTTTCCATGTGTTTCAATGAATTGCTGCACTGCATTTGTTTAGCAAAACATAAAGAAGAAGTGGTTGAAAATGTTTTCAGTGTACTGTACATGTAATAGATAAGTCCCCTGGACTGAGTCATCTCTTTAATGATGCTTGATGACTGTGAGTGTGTCTTTATCAGATCCCAAACAGTCAGACGTTGTTAAAGTTGTTGTCATAACACTGGTCGCCCTGCTGGTCATTGTACTCATGATCCTTGGTCTTCATCTCTACCGTCAGGTACTGAACATGTTTGTTGCTGAGAATGAAGCCTCAGCCTGTTTGGTTTTTTTTTCAACTGAAAAGAGGAATGATGTAGAAAGCCTGATTGTTGTGCTGTTATGTTTCTCCAGCTCAGCAGACAGTAGAACAGTGAGCTGACTGACCCTACATGCTCTGTTTGAGCCATTCGAGGAAGGCCAGGAACAAGTTCAGCCAGCAGAGGAGGACCTCCAAGGAGCTCGAAAGCATGTTTGGATGGAACATGGTCTCATTTCTACACCATCTCTTTTGTCCTCCATCCTTCTGATTTTGAACCAGAGGTCCGGTCAAAGCTCCATCCTGAAGAACTGTCAGTTTCTTTGGCAGCTGTAATCAGCTGGGCTGTGCAGAAATTTTTGAGGGGGTGGGTGCTCAAAGTCAGGGGCGGATGTAGAAGGGTGTCATGGGGTGGCAAGTGCCACCCTAAAATGATCTCTTGCACCCCAAGTGCCACCCTAGTTTTGCATATGACAGTGTTGTTTATTAAAATAAGATAGCATTAACAGTTTGAGTGTAGTTACAGTTAACAGTGAATATAAATACTAAAACTGAATATGTTGCATAGTTTTCCTGGCAACACTATTGCCAGTAAGTTACTGTAATTACTGATTTACAGTATCTTTACTGTTGTGATGTTTTACAGTTCAACCACTTTACTGTAAACATGGTTTACAGTTAGAAAGATTTACCGTGATTAAGTTTTATAGTATCACTGTACTGCAAATGTGGTTTATGGTATAACACTGTAATTGTGTACAGTATAATTTGTTTAGACTGTAATTGTGTTTTACAGCATATAAAATAATATTAACATTCATATTCAATATAAGAACATTTACAAAAAACAATATAATTCAATAAAGTAGTCTCAGAATAGTGAATTAAACCAACATTTATTGTTGATAAAAAAAATTTAACAAGAAAAATATTTTTCAACTGAATAAAAACAATTTCAATAACCAAAATAAATAAAAGCGTACATGAAAACTACACAGTCCTTCACCTTTCTGTGTCTGATTTTTTTAAGGAAAACAGTTTTTCATTCCACTAAAAACAGGACAAACCCACCAGCATGAACATTAAAAAACTATTACAATTGTAAAACAAAAATCATTTACAAAATGTAAGAATTATCAGTGGGTCCCAGGAAATAGAATGTGACATGAGATTTAGATTTCCGTTACCAGGATGGTCGGGTTCAGCGTAGTCTTTATCACCACCTGTCAAAGACACATCATCAATATTCATGTTTGCTCAGGTTATTCACTTGTTCACATCTGTCTGAGATCATTCATACTGTTGTATGGATGTGAGTACAGTATGTATATAATTATCAGCTATGTAAAAGATATTATCATCTCTGTATTCTTACCTGGAGAGAGAGTTTTTAGATGTGGGAGATTTCTGACGTTTAGCGTGGAGTGTATAGTTGGTCTGTTGTGTAGTCGTTGATTTGTGTGGTGTGTCAGTGAGGGCACTAATCAATGTCACAAAGGCAGATTGCAATGAAAACACTATCACCAAGTAGCAAACCAGCGGAGTGATACACCTCCTGTTGTCAGGCCTGCAGGTTTATCCCTGTGCTGTTCTCCTCTGTGTTGTGGTGGACAAACATTTATTTTTTACTGGCACACATCATTTGTGGGGCATCTTATTGCAACACCTTATTGTTTTCTCATTTTAGTTATAGTAATATTTTTAATAGGTTGTACATAAAAAAAAAAATGGCGGTGTATTGGCTGCATTTTTAGATAAATAGTTGTATAAGTTTACAAAATGTGTGCATAATTTAAATTTGCATTTATAAAAAATAATTTACTCAACATGTCTGTGGTTTTTACAGTAAAGAAATACTACTAGGATTTTATGTTTTTTGTGTGATTTCAGATCAGTAATATTAATACAGTATGTCAATGAAAAAACAATTAATTCAGACACGTGAGGTTGAGCTGAAAAGAATGATACCAAGCAAGGCAAGGGGAAAAAATAAAATAAAACAATTTGAAAGTGAAATACAAATGTAAAATCTAAAGGAGTCAAAAATGGTTGTATTCAGACCTCAGTGGGTTAATCCAACAAATCATGAAAAATTAGGTTTAAATTTTTGTTCATGACAGTGCAGATTTCTGACATTTTGTGTAATTTAAGCATGTAACAATGTGATTGTTTTCTAACAAAAAACAGTGTGAAACTTAAGTTAGACTTGTGTTTGTAAATGAACCGCCCCATGTTGTGTAGCTTTCTGGATTTTATACTTATTGGGCTACATATTTATTTATTATACAGGCTATACAGCACATAACATCAAAACTCACATGTTTTATGTAACTAAAGTGTGTAATTATGTGGGCTACAGACAATAATTAAGTTATAGACTATATTTATATGAAAAACGTGTATACTCACTGCATTTGAAATTTTAACCATATGTAACACCTGCATATGTGTTAAAAAGGCTTTGATTTTGCCACCCTATTTGATTTCTTTGCCACCCTCATGCCACCCTAAGAAAATTTCGCTAGATCCGCCCGTCCCTGCTCAAAGTTAAAAAGAGGCACATAGAACCTGGCTGAATAACAACAACCCACATTCATCACGAATTTAATATGTAATTGCATTATACTATATCACTGTCATCAGGTGGGGGCAATGCTAAGTAAGTGTTTTACCTGATGGGGTACAATGTTGGTGTTGAGGGGTTGCTGCTGCTCCTGCTGGACAGCAGGGCTGTGTTGATCTGAGACTGTAGACATTAAAAAGTCCATAGGTGAGATGGTACTGATTAAACAAGTGTATTAGATGATAATAACAAATGCAAAGATTGGTGACAGCGCTTGGAACCATAAGCAGCTAACAAAAAACTACGTGAAAATAAACTTAGGCTCTGCCTGTGATTCACTCTTTGCTCACTCTTCTTCCTCCCTCATTTCATATATCACTCTCCACTGCAATCTGAGAAAAGGCACAATTTGCTATTACATAATCTATATTAATTATCCACACTTAAAAACTCTTGCACCTAATCCATAATAAAGAAATGATCTTCAGATCACATATTGCTGGCAGCAGACATGTCGGCACTCTGAGGGCGAAAGAAAAGAAACCATTATAGTTCAAATTCACTTTATTTTTATTTATTTTTTTAAAGTATTGAACTCTTAACATGTGTCTATCAAACGTTTAGAGTTATTGCTTGGGATATTTTCTTTCTGCACTCAATTTTCTACTGGTTCTTAAACAATGTGTGATGGACATTTTGGTTCCAAAAAACTACCAAATCTGAGTCTAAAAATAAATAATTTTTAAATAATTTTTATTTAAAATGCATGCACTCACTGACAAACACGTTGTGTTTTCTCTCACTGCTTCACATTAAAAGCTTCCCTCTGCTTATCTGTTATTCTGAAAGAGCTACGGGACATAAATAGTGTGAGAGCAGGAAGTGATGAATAAACAGTAATGATAACAGGAAGTGATGAATGAACAACATTAAGGGCAGAAAGCATATATGTTAATGAGAGCAGGAAGTGATGAATAACCAGGAAGTGTGGAGTCAGTCTGAAGTCCAGAGCACAGCCTGAGTCCACAGTCCTGAGCAGAGCCACAGTGAGACTGAAGCAGCAGCTCGATGCTCCTACAGTGGATCTGTGGTTACATGAGCAGATTTCTATGGATCCAGTGTGACTGTGATGAGTCCTGATGAAGTGAACAGAGTGAAGATTTGTGTAGAAGCAGGAAGTGTGATCAGCTGCACTCACCACTGTTGCTGAGAGGAACCTGATGGACTCCAGTGAATCTTCTTTTAGAGACAAACAGGACTCGACTGCAGCTCTGCTGCTGCTCTCTACACTTTCACTTTACTTCTTAGAAATGATGTTGAACTTTTTGTTTTTCAGTTTTTGTTCATCCTCTACCTGCAGCTGTGCGTCTGGTTTTGGTGCCTCTTCCTTTGGAGGAGGAGGAATCAGCTGGTTTATAAGTAACAGGGAGCGAGCACATCTACCATGAATTCATTCCTTTAGTCATGATATTGTCAGTGCTACACTGAAACCTTCTGCCTCATGTGATGCATTCCACCTGCATTCCACATTTCTGATTCGTTGAGACTCATGTGACTCTCTCAGGTGACTCCTCTTTTCCTACTGCACCTGAAGCAGCTGTTCTGGTTCTCCAGACTGCTCAACCTGAGCTGTTCCTCTTATGTCCTCATTTCTAATCTTGTCCTTCTGCTCACTCCCAATGAACACCTGAAATCGTTTGACTTAATTGTCTTCAACTACCTCAGAGGAACCAAACACAGGACTTGGAGACAGACTGAAGCAAAAAAAACAAAACTAAACAAAAACCTTTCACTGAGGTTGGCGTCAGTTGAATAAGTGTCAATACCAGGTGGAACCAAACACAGGACTTGGAGACAGACTGAAGCAAAAAAAACAAAACTAAACAAAAACCTTTCACTGAGGTTGGCGTCAGTTGAAAATAGCAAATCCATGAGGTGGAAAAACAGGCAGGGAACACACCGGGTAGGTTAACAGCCGCTCAGGCTGCGTCCACGGGTATTTTTGAAAACACAGCTTTTTCCGTGCGTTTGGGCTTTTCATCTGCACGTACACAGCGTTTTAAATCACTAAATAGAGATAGATATAGAGATTATTACATAGAAATAGATATTATACTCTCACATTCATACCAGTGTGTGAATGTGAGAGTGAATGAATAGTGGTATTGTAAAGCGCTTTGGGTGCCTTGAAAAGCGCTATATAAATCCAATCCATTATTATTATTATTATTATTATTATTATTATTATTATTATTATTATTATTATTATTAAAAACTCCTACAGGGTGGAGATTTTTGAAAACTCCCTTTTTGCGTGTGGATGAGGAAAACGGAGCTCTTGTCACGCAACATCAAAGGTGTGCATATGTTTTGAAGTCATGCTGTGCGAGAGTGAGAGCCAGTGAGACAAAAACTGTCTTTAGTTATTAACATTTGAAATGATGAAGGAACTTGAAAAGTGACACGAAATTAGCTGCCTTTCCAGAAAAACAAAAAAAACTTTTCAGAAGTACTTCAGGTTTTGTTCCACACAAAACCCTGTTTACTCTTTCCCTCCCAGGCTTCTAGACTTCTGATTGGCCAACATTTCTACAGGGTTAGGATTTGGCATGTTGTTGACAGTGTTTGACGTAGTTTTTTGCATATCATCTGAATTTCAGGAGCGGGACCACTCCTCCTTCACGTCCCCTCTGGCCTCAGGCTATAAAAGCCCCTTCTCCAATAGCTGCTGTTCTCATTTTTGCCCCACCCGCCCCCCCTTTTTTTCTTTCCTCTCTTCTCCTGTCCTCTCCTCTCTTCCTTTCCTCCCTTTATTTCTCGTTAGTACAGGGGGTTCTGCCCGGCCCGAGAGCCGTCGCCAGTCCCCTTCAAGGCCTTCCCCAAACCGCAGCACTAATCACACTCCCTCATCCCTCATTGCTCATCGTTACCAAGGGAGTGGTCCCTGCTAGTGAAATGTGGACGGAGATATTTTTCCAAAACTGCACGTGTGGACAAGATTTTTTTCTTTTTTAACAAAAACAGAAAATGTCAGTTTTCAAAAATACCCATTTATGTGTGGACATTGCGAAGGACAAAGAGGAAGCTCTAAACACAACAAGTTACAAGGCGACACTAATAACCTAAAATACAAGACTAACAAACATACTAATGGTACTACATTCATAAAGCACTAATATCACTAATCAGTAACGCGAGTATCCTGAACATAGAAAAACAAAATCAGAGCAGAACACAAAGATTTCTTCCTTGGCTCCAGCTTCTGTCTCTTTGTATTCTTCAGCTTATTTTGTAACACACAAAGGAGTGATACATACAGCGTTCTGATCTTTATTTTTGTTCTGCGTTGCTTTTCTACTGCCTTCTGCTGCTCAACACGCAACACAGAACTCCCGGTCAGATCCCAGCATCCTATTCATACAAGTGAGGCATGATTAGATGATGGAGATCAGCTGGTCAGCCTCCCCTGGCACCACACCCTGAGCCCACTGCTCTACTCTCCAATGTCTTCAACTTCTACTTCAGCCTCTTTCTCCTTTTTGTTTTTCTCCACCTCTCAATCCTTTTTTAGAATTCTTTTGTTGGATTTTGGGGCTCTTATTGGTTTTAGACCTGACTGTTTAATAATTTTACTTCTGCTCACTCCTTTTAACTCACTGTAACTGTGTTTTTTTTTATACATTGTGCTGTGTTGGCTTATTTATCGACTGGAAATCCAGTTTTTTATTTGTGTAGTACTGAGAAAC